ATAAAGCTTCTTATTTTTAGCCTTAATATTTCTAGCTAAGAGATTAAGGTTATGTCCTTCTTTTTCAGTAGTACTAACACTATAAATAAGTATAATAAAGGGTCAAATATAAACCTTAGCTGATAAGCAGATCCTATTAGTCTAATTAAGGTTTAATTATAGGCATGTCTTGGCTGAGGCATCTTTAGCCTAGAGTATAAGGTTACCGCTTAGCAACTTTTTAATTATAACTATATTAGGGGCATTAGTAAGGTCGTTTTCTTTTATCTGTAGCCTTTTTATAATCTGTCTAGAGGAAAAGGGTTTAAGTAAGTAGGCATCTTCTAGGGAGACCTTGACTAGGATTTGGTTGTCGGTGTAAGAAGGTTCTGATTAGGCGGGCACACGAGGGACGACAGCGCCTGCGAGACCGGTACGGGTTGCCCGTGCATAGCTCGCAGGACCGGGGGTAACTTTCTGATCGATGCCTAAGATGAGGGCTTCAATTTTCTCCAGTTTAATGGGGCCGTACGAAGGTACACGCGGACAGCTAGGAAAAAAGGGGTAAGGAGAGAGAGTAATGGATTGTCGGGTGGCAGAGAGAGGAGGAAGGGCAAAGATTCGAGTTTTTCGATCGTGCTGAGAAGGCTGGCTCTTTGCGTTCTGTCGTTAGAGAGAGCGGGAGGGGAGTAGAGAAGAGTGAAGGGCTGCAGGATTTGGGAAGGTTGCTTATTATCGGAGGGCAGAGGCGGTTCGCTTGCGAAGAGGGCGCGATTTGGGTGAGCGGTAAGTCGGGCATGAGGTGCTTGGCATTAGCCTATTAAGATAAAGCTTCTTACTTATAATTCGTATTATATTAATTAATATCTTGCCCTGCTTATTATTTATTCTTCTTTATTTCTGGCTCCTATATCTAAAAAGGGAATTTAATCTTATCTTTGTACAGACTAATTATACTCTATATCATTAATTAAAATTACTCTGCAGGATCAAAACATACGTAAAGATGTAGATCTACACTTTTTGGCTTTATAATCTTTGATTTCTTTCTAAAATACTCTCTAAAATAATAGTAAGTTTCGTTAATAAAGATGAATATAGTATTATTCTCTTGCTCCTTAGTAGCCTATTCCGTATATTCAACGTGTAAATCTCGAATGTTGTAAGTAAGAATAGGCTTATTTAGCTATATAACTTGAACTAATTCGTAATTGTTTAGAGGATCACGATGCTTGTAAGCGATATTTTCAGCTATGCTGCGTGCCATTTTGAGTCCTGTAATATATAGGTTATTACTACCTTAATAGGAAGCTCAAAATGCTTATGAAATAGCTCTCTTAACAATTAAGATGCCTCTGACCCTAGTAATACCCTTAGTAGCCTCCCTGCCCTTATCCCATCTCTTGAATTTTGTGCAATAGCGAGAAACGAGTCTTGAGAGTCCCTTTCTGTACACTCTAGGGCACGATTGTAGAGCTTGTTAATCGAATTCGCTTCAAGATCAAGTTTTTCAGCAATTTCGGCGAATTTCAAGCCTGCTAAAAGTCGCAGGGCAACGACAGCAACGCGCTTTTCGTAAGGGATTTCGCCATGATGAGGAGGCATAGCTATAGCTGCTTGTTATAGCTAAAGGGCAACGTATTTCGAGTAGTTGTTGTTGAGATACAACTGTTTGAAATTGGCTGTTGATTCGCCAGAATTTGGCGGAGATGGATCTAGCGTGGTGCTAGACCCAATTAGGAAGGGACGCACTTTTCGGCGGCACCAAGTAGTAGCTGGAGTGGAGAAAACCATATATCTATCAAATCAAATGTTAGTAGGCAATGTTGTGTCAAGAGGACTGCCTTTTCGTAAATTCATCTCACAACAAGAGTCTGCCAAGACTTTTTTTCCCATCCAAAAATACTAATTTACTTTTCCGCCAAGACCTTCATTTGACTTCCAGTAATTTTCCAAATTCCAAAGTCTTAACTTGATTTGACAAAAGCACGGATTTACTAAGTAGTTTATTTGCCACGCATTTGATCTGGTCTACTAATTTGACCCAATTTGATTCAAATGAACACACTGGAGAAAACCTAAGGCGGCAGAACTAGGAGGATGATAGTGTCAAGATCGATGACAGACACTGGCTATCGACAGAAAGCTATACTTGAGGATATTAAGGTAACGTTAATCGTATTGTGAAACGACGCAGCCAGTTCTAGGAACTGCTCAAAGATGCACAGGCACGTCAAGTTGGATAACGTGTATGTTGCTGCAAAATGTCGAGTAAAAGCTCAATTGGCCGCGACCGATAAGCATTCCTAGACATACATAGTAGGTGATCTCAGGGATAAAGCGGATGGTAGAATTCTATCTCAGTTACTACGTATTTGCAGGATGCATCTGGAGATGCTACTAGTAGTTCTACCACGGTGTGCAAAGTCATGTGACGTTGGGGCTTGCACAACCCACTAACCTATCCCTACACCGGACTAGTGGATTGCCAGGGCGGTAACATGCGTAAGCTAAGTCGAATCTGGCTTAGAGCATATTTCCTCATTTCCTCTTCTTGGCATGTTTGCGACCTACTTACTACGTGGTACACCCCGATCCTGTGGTCATGACATGATCACCAGATTCACTCTCTAATCACACATGTGACCTCCGCCACTTCAGATCACGATGCACCGTCACAGTTAATACTAGGCACTCTGCGCCTCGCATGTGGGAGGCTTGCGGTGAGTGCGTGGCCTGTAGGCCTCGAAGGTCTACCGCAATTGCATGCCGTCAATCCATCAACAAGCCCTCATCGAGCTGCCAGACTTATCCAGAATGGATCGCATTCGAAGAGTCTTCCACTCCGAGCAGCCCTACGAACCCATCGACGGACATCGGGATGGTACAGCAATCTCAGAGGATGGCGCAGCAGATGCGTCTGAGCCGGAAGAGAACCCCTTCTCGCAGGTCGAGTATTGGACCTTCCTTCTCATGGGAGTTGCAATGCTATGGGCTTGGTAATGAATTTCTGTCGTTGTCGTTGTCGGGGTCGTATTGAGGCATGAAGTCTAATTGTTGTTCTGTCAGGAACATGTTCCTCGCCGCAGCCCCATACTTCCAGTACCGGTTCTCCTCCCACCAATGGATTCTTGCCCATTTTCAGTCTGCCGAGATATCCATTTCCACCATCACCAATCTAGGCTCCATGCTCATCCTCACAAAGCTCCAGAAGAATGCTTCATATCCCTACCGAATAGCGTCATCATTGTGCATCAATATCATATGCTTCACATTGCTTGCAGTGTCCACGCTTGTCACGACTTCCGCAGAGCTATATTTTGGGTTTCTGATGCTCATGGTCTTCGGCGCCAGCTTCGCGACTGGCTTGATCCAGAATGGTGTTTTCGCATACGTGGCTGGATTCGGAAGAAGCGAATACACCCAAGCAATCATGACAGGTCAAGCCGTTGCTGGCGTTCTTCCTTGCCTGGCTCAGATCGGCGCGGTCCTTGCGGTGCCCGGGAGGAACCAACAAAGTCCCAATCAAGCACCCACTGAATCACCCACATCAGCATCCGCCTACTTCCTCACCGCAACGGCTGTCTCGGTCATTGCTCTACTCGCCTTCCTCTACCTCCTCCGCCGCCGACGCAGGACTACCCTCTCACGAATCATCCAACCACCTGCAACCAAATCCACTACCAACGATACCTCCGGAGGCCACATCACCTCCCCGATCATCAACAACCCCCCCTCGCCAAGCCCCGAGGAGCGCAAACCCGAACCCATTTCCAAACCAGCAATCCCACTGACGCGTCTCCTCCGCCTCCTCCCCATTTTCTCCGCCGCCGTCTTCCTAACCTTCGCCCTAACCATGATCTTCCCTGTCTTCACCATCCGGATCCACTCCCTCAACCCGCATCTGCTCCCCTCCGCGCTCTTCATCCCCCTCGCCTTCCTAGTCTGGAACGTAGGCGACCTCCTCGGCCGCCTCCTCACCCTCTCCCCCTCCCTCCGCCTAACCCACCGTCCCTCCCTCCTGCTCACCCTATCCCTCCTCCGACTCATCTCTTCATCCCGCTCTACCTCCTCTGCAACATCAGCGGGGCCAACGGAGGGCCGAAAGTGAAGAGCGATGTCTTCTATCTGGGCGTCGTGCAACTCTGGTTCGGGATCAGTAACGGCTATCTAGGGAGTTCATGCATGATGGGTGCCGGGGAGTGGGTGGCGGAGGAGGAGAGGGAGGCGGCGGGCGGGTGGAACGGTGGGCAGTCTGTTGAGTTTCTTTGTTGGGAGTGCCTGATTCGTGCGATTTACTCCGGGACAGGAATGGGCGATACGGATAGAGAGGAAGATGGGAGAGGGAGGAGTCAGGCATTTATCAGATTTAATTTTAATTAGACTCTTCTGTCTTTCTCGATGGATCTTGTTTGCTAGCATTGCATCTGACGGAGAGGAGAAGAATAGATCATTCGACTTGCTCTACCAAGCAAGCCAGCCAACGACCAACCGGCCTGCCCCGAAGAAGAGTATATATAGAGACAGAGAGAGAGACAGAGAGAGAGAAAGAGAGAGAGAAAGAGAGAGAGAAAGAGAGAGAGAAAGAGAGAGAGAAAGAGAGAGAGAGGTATATATAGAGATAGATAGTAGTAAGTATACTGATACAAGACCCGTCCCGCAAAGCAGCACAACGCCAACCCGTGCTACCTTTCTTCCTTTTCCCCCTTCTTCCTTCAACCCTGATGCGGGGGGGGGAAAGACGCTCTCGTAGTATAGTACCCTGTCCCCGGGTCAGGAAAGGTATCCGCGTTGAAGCGGAGACATGATGATGATGCGAACCGGCCTGATACTAAGTAGTATTCATAGCGCAACCAAGAGGAAACCCATTTCACAGAGTTGTACGCCAGCACAATGCCTTGAAGTCACTTACGAACTAATCAGGACCCGGTCTCTGTGTGTCCTTTTGGTCTCAGTGAGGCACATGTTCGTTCTGTGATCCAGGAGGATACACATAAAATCCCCACTCAAGAATTACTTTTGCTTGCCTGCCTGCTTGCTCGCTGTCCTCATTTCTTACCACTCTTCTCCACGGCATGCTCAACCACCTCTTGAGCCTTCGAACCCTCAATCTTAACATCTTCACGCTCTCCGTCACCTTCACTCTCCTCTTCTTCCTTCCCCGAGTCCAGCTCGTGCTGAATCTCCTCTTTTTCCGTCACCGGGCCCCGTCCCCCTTCCCCGCTGACCGCCATATCCCGGTCTTTCTCACTGCCGGGAGGTGCCACGCCGCCCACCGCCCCCGTCTCAACCCCACTCATCTGCCACTCCATCAACTTCGTGAATGCGCCATCTTTCCTCGCGCTCAACTCCTTATAACTCCCCTGCTCAGCGACTCTTCCATCATTACCCAATACGATGATGGTGTCGGAGCGCTTGATGGTAGAGAGGCGGTGCGCGATGGAGATGGTGGTGTTGTTCCCACGTAGAAGAGCGGCTAGGGCCGAGTTGACGAGGGTTTCCGACTCGGCGTCGAGGGCTGAGGTGGCTTCGTCCAGGATGAGGATGTCAGGGTTTTTGACCAGCGCGCGTGCGATGGCGATGCGTTGTTTCTGGCCACCGGAGAGTTGAGCGCCGCGGGCTCCTACCGAGGTTTCAAGTCCGTCGGGCTACAGAGATGAGGGGTTAGGGAAGTGATGGTAAGGGAGGGAAATGTAACTTACGAAGTCGCTTATGAATTGGCAGTTGGCCTTCCGCGCTGCTGCAATGATCTCAGATCTGGTGGCATTTGGTTTACCATACGCAATGTTTTCTGCGATGGTGCCCGAGAAGAGTACAGGCTCTTGGCCGACTATGCCAATCTTACGTCTTAAAGACTTGACATTCATGGTTGCAATGTCTTTTCCATCCACCAGGATTCGACCAGTGGTCGGGCTGTAGAAACGTAAAATCAACGATGCAACGGTTGACTTGCCTCCACCAGATGGACCGACAATAGCGACATTAGTGCCTTGAGGAATTTCGAAGTTGAGGTTGTTGAAGATGTTTACAGCAGGCCGTGTTGGGTAGCTGAATGTCAAGTTTTCGAATCGAATAGGTCCACGCGCTGATGTGACTTTGGTTCCTCTTGTTGGTGAAATTGTGGGGTTTCGGTCTTGAAGCTCGAATAATCGGCTGGCAGCTCCAACGCCTTTCATGAGTTCGGAGTAGAAGGAAGAAAGACCAAAGAGCGAAGAACCGGCGTAGGCTGTATACATTAAAAAGGATGTCAAATCGCCAATGGATATAGCGCCATTCGAGACCATACCACCACCAACATATAAGAGAGATAAAATCGTCATGTTTCCTGCAAGACCAGAGGTAGAAAAGAACGTGGCGCTGATAAACGACTCGCGTTTGCCAAGGTCGAACAGTTTTCGTACTTGCTTGTTATATCGATGTACCTCAAGCAACTCGCCTGCAAAGGCCTGCGAAGTTCGTACATTTCCTAATCGCTCCTCGGCGATCTTGGTCAGCGTACCAAGGCTCTTCTGAATCTTGCGACTCAGGTTACGAATAGCACGACCGTAGAAGAATGCTCCGATGGCCACAGGGGGGAACAATAGACACAAAATGCCTGTCAATTTCAACGAGACATAAGCCATAAGGCCAAAGCCTGCGGCACCGGAAACTAATGAACGAAGGCCGTCGGACAAATTTTGCGTGATGGATTTGCCCACGATGATAGTATCGGAGCTCAAGCGGGAGATAAGATCTCCGACCCGATTGGCGTCGAAGAACTCTGCGTCTTGAACAAAGGTGCGTCGGAAAAGATTAGACCGCAGTCGAGCTACAACGCGCTCTCCAACGATCCTGAGAATGATGATACGACCATAATTGGCGGCAGCTCCCGTGGCAAGTATCCCAGCAAGGGCCATATAAAACGTGTTGATGCTCAACCCAAAGAGCATATTTTTGGAAGCTGCATCAGCGCCAGCTGGCTCGCCGGCTCCAGGGTTGCGATATCCAGGATCTTTCCTATCGAGAAAGGTATCGACATGGTGATGGACGATGAAATCAGCAGGAGAAGAAACGCCACCCCAAGTATCTTGACCTCGGGTCTTGCGATCTTGATCAATCTCCACACCTCCCCAAGCCCAGCGGACTGCCCCTGAGATGCGCCCTCTTTGGACAATCGTGCACTCAGATTGACCTGTGACGCTTGGGAAGCCTTTTCCGTCCTTCCAAATTCAGCTTCGTCATCTTCCTCCTTCTTCTCCAACCTCGCTGTTTTATCTTCGGTTTCCCTTATCACAGGCGTGGGTAGATCTCGAAGAGGTGTGGAAATTGAAATTGATCGCACTTGGCTCAGTATGCCATTGAATGAGGGCACACTCTTGCGGAAAGCTAATGGAAGCTGCAGCTGGCTGCTAGCAGGCCGCTGCAAACAGCTAAAATGTTGTCCGGCTCGTGACGGCTGTGGCTGAGACGAAGTGGTGAGAGCTTTGTTATTTGAGGCTGGCTGTGGAAATGATGTCGTGCAGCCATGGGGTATCGGATAGACCTCCTGGCGGGCAGGGCCTGGAGCAGCTTCAGGCTGCGAACAGAACTTTGCTTCATCATCGGTGCCCACAGCTTCCCCCGCCCTTGCAACTGGAAGAAGGAGCAATTGCCGGCCAAGCTTCAGTATCCATTGCTTGCCTTGACTGACCCCTGACGAGTTCGGAGACCTGAGTGCTGCAAGCAGTCGAAGAAATGCTCAAGAATGGGATCTGCCTGATTTTTGATAGAACCTGCACATCAATCCGTCATCGGCCCGGAGCTACATTTATTACTACCGGATGAGTCTTGGCGGACGCTCTGAAATTCCGAATCACATACAGGGGTTTTCAGGTACTGCAGTGCTACGGACTAAGTGCGTAGATTCTTGGTTCGATCTACTACCAGAACCATCGCCAACGTAGTGCTGGAAAGGCGATGCTTGAGGCGAGACTGGGGGTCATGGCCTCGATTATGCATGCACGGAGCTTGGAAAGGTCTCGTATTCGCTACCGTGTACCAGATCATTGGCGACATCAGACTTGCCCCAATACTCGCTGCCTAGAACTCGGCCGTCTTCGATATACTTCATACTAACTACTACTAAGCTAAGTTGACACGTGTCCAAAGAGGTGCAGTCATCACTATTTAAGCCTTCATGGGGGCCATCTCTTGAATGGATCCGTGATCGATTACGCAAGGAACACACAGTCGAAAACAAGAGACCTCCATAGCACTCAAGCGGCCCTCTGTACTTGAAATGCCATTCATCCCTTATCTTACCTTCCCTGCGTCTATCTTTTCTTCCCCCACGCTCAGCACTCTCCTTCCCCTTGTGCTCGGGTTTGGCCCGGGATTCATCATCGAATCTTCCTCAAAGGATAAAAAGAACGGTTTCGCTGCGATAGAAGCCAGATTCAATGCGCTCCGAAAGCCTCCACTGAGCCCGCCCGGTTGGATCTTCCCGATTGTATGGGCCCTTTTATATCCCTCCATGGGCTATGCTGCCCACAGGGCATGGACGACAGGCATGGCATCTGCCAATCCAAGCGTGCACGACATCACACAACGAGGAGCGACACTCTACACACTTCAGATTGCAGTGAACATGTGTTTCACACCTTTGTACTTTGGGCTGGGAAAACCGGTCGCGGGTTTTATTGACATCGCTACTCTGACGGGCATGGTCTACTATCTGGCATATCTGTGGAAGGAGGTGGATTCAACAGCAACTTATCTTCTTATCCCTTATATGGCCTGGTTGAGCTTTGCGACGTATCTATGTGCCGGCCAGGGATATATGAATGGTTGGAATTTTGAGAAAGGTGGAAAGAGAGAGGAAGGCAAAGCGGAGTAGGGTAGACCTGGGATGTATGGTTGGTTTTTGTCGAAGTCGAGATTCTGCACGGTGGACTTTGATCTTTGATTCTCACCGGACGTGCGCTGGAGCCGGACTTGTCGACTCAGCAGCCTGAACAATGAAGTCAATATGATGGTTTGGTCCGAAATCCATTTAACAGCCAGCGCTATGTTAACTTTCGGTCTGCGTAGTCGAATGGGCAACATTTTTCACTTTAAAGCTCAGGCTCCATATGGTACATAGCATCAATATCATTCTCATAGTTGTAACCCCTAGTTTACATCAAACTAGAGGTTCAACAGACAAGTCTTGTCAACTCTGTGCTGGTTTCTAAGGAGTAGGGAGTCATTGCAGACAGACCATAACGTTATGTTGATTTGGACATAAGCAAACTTAAACGTTCTCACAGGCAGCAATAAATCTCTCCTAGCAACCCTCCGCATTCGATACTTGCGCTCTGAATTGTCTTCAATACAGGGCACGGCTACTAGTACACTTGATCTAGTATCATGCCTTTATTCGTCTACTCCTCGACCAATTGGTCTCCTTATGCCCTTGCCGCCGCTTATGGCCTTGCCGCGGCACCAATGATATATTGTTTTGGATGCCTAACACTTTATTCGAATGGTCAAGTCAATAATGCTATGTAAGTCCGCCTGCAGCAGATATGGTGCGGGAGTGATAGTAGCAGCCAGCAGAAGCTCACGCGATGACGATGCAGGCCTCGACTCGCTCTCGAGAACCTAAAAGGCAAAATCCCCCAACAGATCTGGGAGAGATGTTTCCGCGCACGTGCAGCGCATCTGAATGCGTTGGAGCATTTCCCTCTGTTTGTGGCTACGGTGGTAAGTACATGTCAATCTGCATTCTGGATCATTTGCGTTAGGTGTCTTGAGCTGACGGTAATGGTTGCGAAGGTTGCTGGAAACCTTGCAGGACTCCCGGTTCAGGTAATCAATGTCTTCGCTATGAAATACCTGGTCCTTCGATTGTTGTACACAGTCCTGTATATTAGGACGACATCTAATGGCTGGAGCTACCTGAGGAGTGCAGTCTGGTTTGGTTGCACTGGCATGTGCATGTGGACTCTGCTTCAGGCGGGGGTGACACTGAATACGGCGAACAGTCTATGATATGGCTATTAACTAGACTTTGACTGCCATATAATAGCTGTATCCCCTCGTAACTTGGGATGAGAATCAGACAAATCTTTACTGCCCACTCGACCCCCTGTTTAGGCGGGTATATAGGGCTGCCGCATCTCAAACATGACAACCTCGGATGGTTAGGAATTACATGACCATGACCGTGTGTAACCATAAGACCTACAACATATCAAAGGCTTTACGACCGATAAAGGCCCAACTTCTCAGCCAACTGTTTCTTTCCTCTCTGACCCCTGGGACAAAATCATTATTTCTTGCTTCCCATCACCTACAGCCTCAAGAACTATCGAGCTTAGAGAGCCTAGCTCTCACCATTAATCATGAGAAATACCCGAAGGCAGTTAGTAGGGTGGTAGCTCATGGTTCTGTGATTATCACTTCTGCTGGTTTTCTGATGAGAAACCCAAGAGGAGGAATTGGCTACTCGGGAAGCCTGGAGATCGTCAAAGCGTGAAACTCATTAGTAAGATCAATGAGAGGGCCGGTATCAAACTAGACATAGTATGAACCCTTGGTTCTTGCTTGGCGGACGACGCATAGGTCTTGGGAGGCAACGAGATAGCATAGGATCATGTTATTGGTAAGAGTGTGTCCATTTGAATCAAATTGAGTCAGATAAACCAACTCTAATGCTTGGCAAATAACCCAAAATCCGCCAATGGAAGTCTTGACTGAATTACTTAGCAGGAAGAGACCCTCTTAAAATAACGCTAGGGGAGCCACCAAAGTGTGCTTAGAGTAAGCCTAAATATAAGATTGCTTAGATTGTGCGAGGGGATGCAGCTTAGCTGTCTCTGACCTAATGAAATCTTATCATAGTGCTACTATATTTATAACTTTTTTCGGCAGAACAAATGACTATAATATGGCTTCTCTCATCGGCTTAACATGGTCGTCATTTGACAGAATAGCTGCCATTTCCACTAACGGCACTTGGCTCATATCTTTAACTGGTAGTACCTTTCTCCTGGTAAGTACCAAGTGTCATTTGATGGAAAAATAAAGGTCTTGGCGGACTCTCTTTGTGAGATGAAATTGCTTCTCAGAGTCGGTCCCCCTAACAAAAATTTTACTTACTAACATTTGACTCCATTTGACAAATGACCCCTGGGATTAGATGAGCAGATCAAAAGGGGGTCATGATTTGGGTTATTTGATTTGATGGATACACTGATCGCGAAGATCTTCATGCGGTAATACCTGCACAGATTTATTCGTCCTTGAAGCATCTACCGGGATGAGCATTGACACCGATCAGCAGAATACCTAACTATTTCCTTAGAACCCGATAAAAGATTTGTTGGCGTAGACGATCTCAGAGCTAGGGGCCCCCAATAGCTGAGGATCTGTCTCCCAACTTGTACAACTGCCGTCCTTATCACGAAGAATATCGTCCCCTCGAATATATTGCTAAACCAAATTACTCGTCGTCAACCCCAAAAGATATTGCGAAATTCCATCGAAATGAAGTCAGTCCTTGCACTCGAACGGCCTTTTGTGTGTTTTGTTATCATGGAAAAGGTCACCGGAAGAAGGGTATGAGATGTTTGAGGGTATAACCTAACGGAGGATCAATGGAAGGAACGCCGTCGGATCCTGGAAGCATTCAAGGAAGCACTGCTGTAAGTACCTCACTTCTTGTGGGGGGTGGTCAGAGGAAAGTACCGAAAGAACTTCTAGATGGAGTTATCGCTACTAGTATTCCTCCGACCGATTTGGGTGCCTATAATGAGATATAGTGAGGTACTATTAGGCTCACAGGAGATAACAGCCCCTGACTTACCGATAAGTTGTCGGTAGAAGACTGGTTTAGATACTGTAGTGGCAACCGGTGTAGCCAAGTAGCGATAGGCGACCGGTAGAAACCATTCAGACGTATACATCATACTGTTTCGGAGGTCTCTTCTATTCCATGGACCGTTTGGTCTAATACTAAGTATCCCGTCTTGAAGCGAAATCGCAAGATCAGATGACTCGAGATATCCTGTGGGACAGCTGAATCCAAATGGTGAGTGACTTCACGATATATCGCCTCGCAAAGGCTTATTCGTCATCAACTGTTCTTGAACGTACGTTGGGCTATGGGCTGATATTAATAGGTCGGGCGATATCGTTATCAAGTATAACAGCAGGACGCCTGGGAACAAGGGAGGTCAGAGGAATCAGTGTGTCCATTCGGATCAAATTGGGTCAAATACTACCATGCTCTCCTCTGAGGATTCAATTATAGTTTGAAATAGACTTAAGCGTATTCAGAGTATACTTGGAGCATAATCAGAATATATTCGAGTAGAGTTCAAGTAGCACTTGAGTGTGATGGAATAGTCGATTATACTGGAGTAGGCCGGGTTAAATTGAATGCTTGATAACACTCAGGCGCTGTTTAGGCGTTAAATGGGCAACTACTTCAGAGTGACTTCGGAGTGTACTTAAGCATTCAACCATGTCAAGCATGTCACGTGTCACGTTGGAAGCAGGCGACGAGTGCGCGAGATCTTCAGCCCATGTTGAGTGCTATCCTAAGACTGCAGAGCCGACGAGGATGGCACTGGGGTCGCTCCTATATAGCGAGCATGCCCCTTACTAACGCGTAGTGCCAATCAATCCCCGGCGGCCCTAGCGCTAGCGGCCGACAAGCATGGCAGCCGTGACAAAGCAGACCCAGGACGTCATCAAGTCCCATTCAAGTTATACTCAAGTGTGATTCCAATAATCCATGATGTTCAATTAATTCGTGATACTCATAATACCTAGTATTCACTGCTTATCACTACTTACTGCTACTGTTGAAGTACCGCCTTGCAGGAGGATACTGTTCACCTGTTGTGGTCCTGTCCTTGCCTATCTAAATCTATCTAGATCTATCCAGCAATGGCCTAATAGGGATTTCCTGTGCCAAGGCACAGGAATTTAGGGCACGTGACCACTAAAATGGCGCTAGGCCGCTTTGGGAATTTGGCTGTACATGTACAGCCAAATTCCCCGGCAGTAGCCGCAGGCTAGTAGTGCACCTGCGCCTGCCACTCGCATGCTCAACCCACGACCGTATTAGCCGTAGGTTTCGACAGCTACTAGTAGTAACCCAAGTCAAATTTGTGCTTTCGTCAAATCAAGACTTTGAGTTTTTAGGGTTGTTTCTAATGAAAAGATTAAAGTCTTGGCGGAAAATCCTTAGCAGTCCTTAAGTAGTAGTCTGTGAAGAATCGAGTTCCCTTAATTCCATGTATCTCGATGGAAGTCTAATCACCTTTGGAGACCTGCGTTGACCTGCGTTTCTTATGCTACAGTCTACTCATTACTACTTGTTATGACCGTTGACCCAAGGGTCTTTTTTGCCCATTGCTCTTATCGGCGGTTGCCTCTTTGCACAAATTGAACCGACTCGACCAGGCTCATTATGCAATTTAAGAAGATATACTACACCGCAGCCGGAAGGCATGCTGAAAGGTCTCGCAAAAGGAAACCCACCGGGCGCCAACTCCAATGCACAGGGATGGACGATTTTTGTAGGACGCTACCACAGTGTACCTGCGGGTTAGAACATAGTATGTCGAAGCATTGTTGGAGGAGTAGATTGCCTTACAAGCCTACTCAAGATCTGGCTGTAGCAACCTAGTGTGAGGCACGACTCTATTGTTGTCAATGATATTCCAACGAGTAATAGGCAGAAGAATCGATCACCACCCATCTGTGATGGATGATGCATTTCCTCTGCCATGGCGCAGGAAATGCATGTGCCAGCCACATACTCAGGAGGCAACACTTATAACTAACTCGTAATAGCAAGCAAACTCCTGCTGTAGGGCGCTTGTCAAAGTGTGTGAGCTATCCGGACGGATTACGAATAAAGAGGTTTGCCTTACCTGATTAGGGAAGCCTAAACTTCACTATACAGTAGGAGGCCGGATTAAGAACTATGAATGCTCTGTGGCCTATGGCGTGGCCCACGCACACACAGGCCTCACCCGCTGGCGTTGGAGTATATATATCTGTGCATAGCCACATTGTAGATAGATTCTCCAGCTTTCGTTTAGCAATCTATGGACTATTGACTTGTTCTAGTTTCGAGCCATTGCAGTAAACGAAAGCTGACCTTGATCGGGTTAGTCTTCATGTACGTTCGCGGGTTCGAGTCCCCGTACGGCCTCTGATTACTTTTTCTGTCAAGGGCACGTAATAGCGGGAGAGTTTAGTATATCTATTGTGGGAAGGTCCTTTATAGTGGGTTGAGGGCAAGTTGACCATGCGAAATCGTAAGGGGAGCCGGGGGCTTTGGCCTTACGAGGACGTAAGTCCTTAGGGTGCGGGGTAGTGTCACGGAGTTGACATGGAGGCCTCCTGGGGCCTAGATGGAGTCGTGGTCCGACTCTCTCTAGGGCATCTGAATAAGGATTAATATACTATTCCAACTGCATTCAAGTAACTTTGGTTACTTGGGCGTAACTCTTTTGTGAAGTTGGATCACTATCTCACCATCTAGATACTGCTCGGTCAGACCTTGAAAAGAATTCCCCAATACAGAATTGGCTCATACGTAGACTCCACAGGCCGACAAGCTCCGGCCACCAACCAAGCCACAAACTAGCACCTGTAGAAGTGCTTCATTGAATGCCCAATCTGGCGGTCTCGAGAGAATCCGTAAATTATTAACCTGACGCTAGTAGCAGCTATTCCATGTTGTGGCGCCACCAACCGTTGCAAGTGGAATGAAATCCATGCCAAAAGCAGCCAATGCCCAATCTAATTGTGCGGCTGTGAGGTCACAGACGCTTGGCATCCAGGCAGCCGATTCCGTCAACGCCAACACGGGATTTGCTGCCGGAAAGCTCACTCTGTCACTACCCAGAAGATAGGATCACCTTATTGCTCTTAAATCATCTGGGCTCGAGTAGTTTGTTCTGAAGATGTTTTGGGGTGAAAGTACGGAGTACTAGTTCCAGAGCAACGATACTTGAGGATTCTCTTGGAATATTCGAGTAGTGTAAATTAGTTAAATCAAATCGAATCACGTTTGGTCAATATAATCAAATTGGGTCTTGGCAGAAAAGTTGTATGTTTTAGCATATTTTTGTTGAAAAAATAAAAAGTCTTGGCGGACACCTTTTCCTAACAAGATTATTGCTTACTAAGATTTGACTCGTTTGACAAATGAATCAAATCGGCGCTAATTTTGGTTCATTTGACTTGATGGATAGTACCCTGTATTCGAGTAGGTCTTATAACACAATGAAACCCGCTTTCTTCAACACACTTCAACTCCCATACCATTTAAATCAGCCCACCCTCTACCCAGAACCTAAAAGAGGAGGTGTGTAAAGGAACTGACACAGTGCTGACCGACCACTAACTCAACACAGACCTCGAGTGACATTCTGGACAACATGGCCACCTCAAGCTTCTCCCAATGGCCATCCCTCCGCATCGCCGCCAGCGTCTTTGCAACTCTCTTCATCGGATTCGGCATCAACGGTATCGTAAGGCCCGAAAACGCTCTCGAGTTCTTCGAGTTGGAAGCACCAGCAGCCGCTTCGGACAAGAAGCTCGTCGACAGCCTGATGGTGATCTACGGAGCCAGGGACATATTCATGGGGCTGGCCATCTACTCAGCCGCGTACTTTGGAGACCGCAGGACGTTGGGCTGGATCCTGATCGCCGGCAGTGGGGTGGCGTTTGTGGATGGCGCTGTTTGTCGGGCTCATGGGAAGGGAGAGTGGAATCATTGGGGTTATGCGCCCATGCTGACCGCGGTGGGGAGTGTGTTGCTTGGCGTATTGGACAGGGTGTAGGGATAGGGAATCGCGATAGCATCTGTGACGGCGACGTACTTCATATTTCTAAGTGTGACAGCATCGCTGCTTGTTGATCTCTCCTTGTGATATAGAGCCCAGAATCTATTAGCGGCTGCTTTTCCGGATGCAAGAGATACATTGTCCCTAACGCTGTTACTGGCTGCTTTTGAGCATCTTATGGACTTCTGCGACGTTGGCATTTATAACAGCAAAAGGTCCCAATATTGGAACTCAATTGTTGGGAGATAAGATCCTACGAACCAACATTACTACAGTATAAAGAAAAATGCTGTGTTACCATCAGTGCTAATATAATGTCTGGATATTGGTCCAAGATATCAGAGAGTCTTGCTTTCACAAGATGAGAATTCGTTAATCTCATAAATTACACTATTGTCACCATGTTTTCTTCCAGCTCGAAATGGTATTGTTTAAATGTCTGTTAGCTCTAGAATTGTGAGCAACGCAGAACAAATTCAAAGGAGCCATCCAACATCATTTGTCTAAAGCCCTGGTTTCGCTGACAATACATGCTCTGAATTTGCGTCCGCGGCAGACCAGGTAGATTCAGAACGAGTAAAGAGCATAGGCGAAACCCATGGTGATCTAAGTGAAGATGATGTACTCATCTGCTCACCAACAGTGTTCGCATTCAGTCTCGCTATATGAGTTCTGGGACGAGGCTGTTACTAGCTCGATCTATATCCCACCTGACAGACCGATACAGGAGAGTTTGCAGTGGATGACATAAGATTGATTGTTCTGGTCCACCTTGCCAGTTGACTGTCTGATGATTCCTGTCAAAAAGAAAGAAGTCATTGTGACTTTTGTCTAAAGATATCTGGGGCACCTGTGCGAGAATAGGAGATCTAGACCATCAACAAACACACTTCTGTTGTGAGGTCTACACGTTCGTTTTTCAGACAACCCACGCACGCATGGGATGCTCTGCTTCTGCTGGATAAAGCAAATGGGTTCTTACAACAACGTGCCAAACTTAACCTGGAGCGGAATCGCCGGGTGGCCGTCATTCTTCGCAAAATTTAAATCAGTGTGTCCATCAGATCGAATCAAAACAAATTATGCTTCCGTCAAAGTAAATCGGCCTCCGTGGACTTGACAAATTAGTCAAACTGAAGTCTTGACAGCAAAGTCTCTTACTTGAAAAATTTAAGTTTAGGTATGTTTTCGATGGAATAATAATAGTCTTGGCGGACACTTGATCTGGACGAGAATTCAAGTTTGCCCCGACTCCCTACGTTTTGCCTGCTTTTGAATCGTCAGTTTTGCCGCATCTCGCTGCTAATCTTTCTGCAATTTGTACTTATATCTGCACGCCCTGCGCCTTTTTGAGAGAGAACAGGGCCGTTTCTGTCAGAATCCCTGCATATATGATACGTATCTGTTACGTATTAGCATGATGGTACAAGGGTCCCCGCATGCAAAACGCACGAAACGCTCTTGTAACTGTTACGCCTTGTTATTTATGGCAGTGAGCATTGCTATACGAATTGAACGCCAAATGATGTTTCTGAGCTGTTACAGTAATGCGCTTCTATAGCTATTAGTATGAGCAAATGCTCCTCTTGATAGGAGTAACTCAATCAAGTGAATTGGCACCTCCGTACGCTGTTTGCTACTACTTCTAACAGTTTCTTCTACCTATCTGACATAAGTAAATCCCTAGAAATATATTGGTTACTGAGATTTGACTCGACTGAACAAATCAGTCAAACAAAGTAAATGACGGGTGTTGATTAAATGATCTCACCAAATCAGGGCCTCCATTTGCTTTGTTTGATTTGATGGATACCCTGCCCGGGTGTATTGTTCCCAACCACCAATCTGGTCCAGAAGTTCGACAACGCTATTCCCAAATTAAATTCACCTGACGATGAAATATGAGAAACCCGAAAAAGCTTCAAGACAGACCATCATCGCCAAATTCTTGAAAACTGTAAATGGTGGGCAAGAGTTATCAAATACCGGCACAGAATATGTAGCCCGTTTTGCCTGCGTATTCCTGGACGGTCGGCAGATAAGTCATCCACCCTCGAAAGGAAGAACACCAGCTCACGTGAGGTAAAGATGAAGAATACTATCGCCATTGCCGTTGCAATGGCGGCTGCTAAAGGCGAGGGCTTATCTTCTTTGCACACCTTACAGACGCAGGAAGCGAACAGCAATCTGATACTGTCCAGCTACACGTGGTCCACGACAGCTTGTATGACTAAGGCCTTATGGTGATATTTGAGGAATGTGCGAGGTACTGTGCTTAGCGTAGCGGATCGACAGTATTTGGTGCTCCGTCATTGGCGATTTCTGGTCAGATAAATGTCCTTGCTCTGTCTGAGGATCTAAGAAGCGATCGTTGGGGTGATTCGACCACGTGGGAGTTGGCCCAGCTACACATACACTCGTTTGAGGTCTCTCTCAGACAGCGCCATCCTGCAGACCGGACAAAGAGGTTCGTTCCTGCAAGACCAAAGGCCTCATGGTCCTCCTACCCTTGCCTCTCATTGGGCCATCCAGCCACCACCATTTGAGTGGGCATGTCTTCGTGAGCGAAGGCAGGATTGGCTTCAGAATCCGCCAATGCTATAAAATTACCGCTGAAAAGATGGTCATTGCCGCTGGCCCTTGGACTGTAGAGATGCAACGTGGTCTTGCCAAAGCTTCCCTATACCATGCTCACTACTAGATACTCAATATGAATTCAAGTATATTTCAAGCGTATTCAGAGTGCATTCAAGTGCGTTCTGAGGATTCGAACGCGGAACCAATGTGTCCATTAAATCACCAAAGATTTTCACCTCACAAAAGCAGTCCGCCAAGACCTTTTTCTTCTTTTTAAGAACAGCCCGGAATATCTTAAAAGACTACTACTCCGAGTCAGTCAAGGCTTTTCTACCAAGACTCCTCTTTAACGAATTTCAAAGCCAGTAACTTGATTTAACGAAAGCAAGGATTTGGTTTATTTAAATCGATTTAGTTCACAAACACACTAGCTAGGACCCAGTTCTCCTACCGATTGCTAAGCTCATAAGAGAAGGGATCTTAATCCGAGACCCTACCCCATAACCTATCAGAGCATATGCTCGCAGTTGGCGCCTTAGTCTTGCCAAAAACTCATTCTGAAAACAGGCGAGCAAGGATTAAGTTAGCATAACTACGGATTATATAACCCACCATCCGAGAAATATGACCTAACATGAATTGGAACGGGCTACACAGTACCGTTCCACCCCAAAAACGCAGGCAAAAAGCCAGAAGAAGAAGAATACTAGTAATAACATGAGTAATGGCTATAAGGGAGAGGCAAAGGTTTTCTCCTCATATACAGAGAGTATTGTTATATTTATTGCCAAGCGGCGTTTGTCATTCATCAACCAAAAACTTACCATAAGCCCCGAAGCAAGGAGGGTTTTTCCTTGGAAGGTCAAATTACATTTTCAACCGCTGGCAGCGGTGGTGGTGGCGGCGGCGGTAGCAGTAGTATTACTACTGGCAAGACCACTTTCCTTCTCCAACCCCTCACGCCGTCCACTGCTCTGCGGGTCCAAATACGGCTGCTCGCCCAGACTGACCGCGCGCTGACCGGTCCTGGGGCCCAGTCCGTCGTAGTCGTACGTCGCCGTGTGGTAGACGCTGCGGTTGTCCCAGATCGCCAGATCATTCGGGTTTTTCCAGCGCAGTCGGACCTGCAGGTCGTGGTTCTCTGTGATCAGCTGCACGAACCATTTGAGTAGGTGTTCGCTCTCGGCCGGGTGCAGGCCGTTAATCTGTTTCGCGTGGTGACCGACGGCGAATATGGATTTCCAGCCGGTGACCTGTTTTCATTGTTGGAGAAGGTCAGGGTGTGTCTCAATATTCAGTGACAGGCTTGGAGAGATGGTGTATATGCAGACGTACAGGATTGGTTCTGACAACAGGATGGATAGCCTTTAGATCGATGCCGGTATTTTCAGGTGCGCCACGTTCACCGCTGTACAAGGAGAAGTTGTTGCGTTGAGCGGAGTCGGTGAACACGGGCTGTGCGTACGTTGCCGTGAGACCTTCCAGGAACTTCTGGTAAGCTGGCGAAATACGGTCATAGACCTCATAGCCAGAGGCCCAAAGCGTGTCGCCGCCAGTCTTGGGCAATTCAGTTAGGCGTAGGATGGTGTAGTCACTAGGGACCGGCTCAAAGGTAATGTCGCTGTGCCAGCCTTCTTTGCCGCTTTGTTTCTTCATAAAGAGGTCGGAGTAGAGCTCCTTGGCCTGCTCAGACGAGATGACACTGATCTGATCATCATTGCCGCCCAATCGGCGGCCACTGTTGGAAACGGGATGGATGTGTAGTTTGGAAGTGCTGGGTTTGCCAGATAGTTCGCCTAGTCGCTGGGCGAGGACCTTTTGGAGGTCGTTGTCCAAATCATCTTGTTTTCGGAAGAAGACTACGCCACGGCGGGAGACTAAACCGTTAGTATGGGAACAAGCAATTCGCGGGAGCATTGTTCACTTGTTATAGCAAGCTCTCTGAGCAACTCGTCTGAATTGGGAGCTTCCAACCATTCCTTGAGGTTCACACCGCGGAACTCCCGTCCAATCACGGGGGTTGCATCGAAGGACTCGAACTTGTCGAATGCTCCTGATGGCTTGAGGGGCTCTTTGTGCTTGCCTGAGGCAGCGCTCTTGATGTCTTCCACGACCGGTGTTGCAGTTTCTGTAAGGGTCGCCATATCTTCTAGAAGTCGTCCGTAACCACAACAGATTCTGCCAGTCTGTCATGTGGGCTCGACAGTTGAAGTTATACCGCCTAGATAGTCTGGCATATGGGTCTGGCAGTTGATCGATTCCTCCTCAGTGAGCACTACTTTGGCCATGCCTTAGCAATTTCGTCAACTGCCTTGGGTATCGCCATTCATTGGAGTCCTCAAGCCACGTCTTCTTAGTCGCCACGAGTCGTGCGAGCGTGTTTGGACAAGAATAACGCAAAAAGACTCATCAATGGCGACATTGAAGCCCAACGGCTTGCTATCGTCATTGCTTATCGTCTCGAAATAGCTCCTTCCTTATCAACCCTGTCGTCAGATGCATGCGCATAATTGAGGAGACTGGGTTCGCGAATTCGTCTTGGATGATTGGGGGGACGAAGTCTTGCGTGATTTGGACGAGAACTGCTTCATAATGCATGGCATAGGCCAGACTCAGTCCAGACTCACTATTCGGGTAAACGGCAACCCAAAAGACAGACCAGCTACGTATGGACCTGCAGAACTTGGAAGAGAACATGCAAGTTAGCACCGGACGGTCTTCAGAATCCTGGCTGGGGATTTGGGACAAAGGGGGTAAGAGGTGTAGGTAATTGCCGCCAAGAGCCCCCCCCTCCCCCGTCCTTCTTGGCAGGACCTGTCAGTGTACCATCAAATCAAATAAACCAAATGATTTGCCTCAGGCACTCAAAGATTTTCATCTCATAACCCGAGTCCGCCAAGACCTTTATCTTTCATCCAAAATAACCTTGGAAAATTTAAAATAAAAAGACCTTTGTTTAAGACTTCTTCTGTCTGCAGAATCCTGATTTGATTTGACGAAAGCACAAATCTTGCTTTAGTATCTGTCAAACATTTGATTTGGGTTATTTGACTTGCAATTTGATTCAAATGGACACACTGTGGCACGTAAGGAACAGCAACCATCGGTCACGGGGTAGGCTGCATCAAATCTGAGTTCATATAAGCGACTACAGCCAGCTGAAAGTTGTCAGTTTCAGCTATCAAGATCAGCGCCTTTACGTTGTCTTTTGCCAGGAACGAGACCGAAGGAACATTGATCCACAGCTAAGAGTTGCTGAAGTACCACATACGTGCTATACTTCCGATTGCGACTGGACTTGCCACAAGTTTCTTGCAGCAGTGGCAGCAGGACTTTGAGTGATATGAGGTCTGCTAGGATCGCTAATCTCGCAGTGGACTTTGACTATACCTCTACTGCATTCCACCCTCAGCTGAGACCTCCTTGGGCCATCCATCTACATGTCTAGACGAACTCAACCTCAAATCACAACTCCAAAGAGTTACTGGGTACTACCTTGAGCTTGGTCGCAGTCTTGGACATGTGGTATCCGATCCGGTTCTATGACACAAATCGGAAATCTCTTCTCTTTGCTCCCTGGTCTGTGGTGGTCTCATTATAATGAATCTTCTCTTGTTCGGAGAGCACGTCCCATCTGGCGGCCTTCTGCTTGTTGCGCCAAGTGTAGTATGCTTTCGCACCGAGATAGATTACTATGTTGACACAGGCCATACTGAGTAGGATTCGATTTCCTCTGCGGTAGTATGGTTTATCATCTTCACTGTAAATGTTGGAACTGATAATGCTCTGTAGTTGGACAGCCATGTTGTACAGGGCAGCCGACACAGTCCTCGCACGTACAGCGTTGCTGTTGCGACTGATCCAGGCCACTTGCATTGGATGCGGTGTTGGATAGCTGAGCAGCACCGTGACCGCTGCATATGATGACCATCGGCTGGTGCCAGAAGGCAGCGTATACATTGCAACCAAACATGGCAGAAACCAACATTGAACAAAGATTCCAAGGTAAGCTCGTTGGTTGATGATTTCCGAAATGTAGGTCAAGATCAGCATCTGCGTAGGCAATCGGTTAGTGAGGGCATTCAAGCATGAGGAAGAATGCCTACATTGATCGTGGTTGCAACCTGACAAGGAATACTAAGCAAGTTCGAATTGAACGTGTCAAAGCCCAGGTTCCGTAATGTCAGTGTCAAATATCTGTCCGGTGCCCCAGCTGGGAGGCCAAATACCAATCCGATGAGGTACAGAGGCCATAGGTCGAAATCACAAAGCGATTTCCACATTAAGGGGAGAGTTATGGCCTGGCGATTGTGCATGTCTCCTTTGGATGGATCGTCACGCAGGATTCTGTTCACCATGATCTTTTCCTCCCGTTCGTTGAACCAGCCTTTCGGTCGGTACCAAGACTTTGTTTGCGTGGGCGAAGCAGCCATCTGGAACCACGACCAGATACCAATGGCCAGAGTCAGCAGACCTTCGATGAGGAAAAGCCTATACGATCTTAGCCACGTAAAGCAAAGGGTATCAGGCCTGCCAGCTTACCATCTCCAACCTTCATAACCGTGCACGCCACGAAGGCGCAACAGTCCATATGCCAGAAGCGGAGCGATGACATCTGTCAGTCGATTTGCCATCCAAAAGAGCGCCAATCGAAACGGTAGCTCGGTCCCTTTGAAAAAATAGGACATGTACAGGATCAAATCCGGAATGAAGCCACCCTGCAGTAGCCCGAGCAAGGCTCGTGTTGCAAGAAAGGACGTTCTACCATTCAGCCAAAACTGGCAAGAGGCGACAACGCTCCAGAGCATCATCTGGGCTGGGATCCACACATCCGGCCCGATCTTCTTACTGACCAGTTGCGAGGGTAGCTCTGCAAGTAAGAAGGAAGTATAGAAGGCTGTGTTACCCATGTTGTAATCGCTGGTGTTGAGGCCTAGATCATCCAGAAAATTGTCTGTGTTGGCTTGCGAGAGGTTGCTCCTATCCAGGTCCAAGGCGAAGAAAGCAATGCACGACCAGGCAGTAATTTTCCAATCGATCTTTTTGACCAGTGGAAGTTCTTCGGCCCATGTCCACCGCATGCCCGGGTCGAAGCGATGGGAATTCTCATATTTCGGATGCGGTTGAAAGTATTTTGCCAGCTCTGGGTCGTCATAGACAGAAGGTTGAGTGGCGATCTCTTCCAGCTGGACCTTTCTCTTGTTCCTTGACCAGAGGCTGGCAATAGCAGGACGCGGTCGCTCAGAAGACTCGAGATGTTTCCTGTCCTCCAAAATACTCGCCTTGAATGCTTCAGTTTGCTCCGATGAGTTGAGCGTGAAATGCGTCTCCGATTGAGGACTGGTGGTGGTGGTGCGTGCTTCACTTTTGCTGGCCATTTTGATCGCGCTTCCACAAAGGCCTTCCAAATCATATGCACCTCATGTTTATCCTGAGACCTTGCTCAGGCTTATATCTGCTTCGGGGACTATACGGTGGGACTCGAAAATGACCAAATCGCACGGAATCCATGAAAGATCGGCTTAACAGAAACCTGGTAGTTTGCAAGCAAACTCTTCTTCTCTGTAGTAGGATCATCAGCGTCCGATGTCGACTTTGCACGCGCAAGAAGTATTCCAGAGCACGTCACATCGAGACTTCATGATTGGCTTTCCACGTGCCTGCACGTTGAAGCGACGATGACTTCAAATTCTTCGAATTTTATTTCCACGCATCTTTTTCCTCCTCATTCTCGTTTCTCCAGGCTTGTGTTCACAATTTCAGAACATCACAATGACGTCTAGCGAAACAATAACGGCTGCGTCGGATCAACGTATCACCGTATCAGCCGCACATGATCAAGAGACAAACACCTCAGTATATCCTTGAGCACGGCGTTTGTAGGTTTCGTTGCTAACTCGTCGATCTCAGTACAAATATGCTGCGTACTTACCAGTCTACGACGAAACAACGAAATTGCGCGCCACCGAACCATTCGAGTTCAAGGATCGCGGACTCGATGGTGATAAGGACAAGAAAAACTTGCTTGGTCAGGCCAGTCTGGTGCGACCTTCACCAAATTGACACCCCGCATTGGGACCGAGATCGAAGGTCTTCAGCTGTCAGCGCTTAATGATGCTCAGAAGAAAGACCTTGCTCTTCTGCTTGCGGAAAGGGGGGTCGTGGTCTTTCGCGGCCAAGATTTCAAGGATATTGGCCCTGAAAAGCAGAAAGAGTTTGCATCATTTTTCGGACGCCTGCACATCCACGTCAGTATCTTAAGTCAGGAGGCAAGAGACTGTTGCTAACCTATACAGCCTGTCGGTGCCCATGTCAAAGATCATCTGGAATTCCACAACATTTACCTCGGACCCGACAATCTCTATCGGGCTCAGCAACGGTCGTCTAAGCTGACAACAACAGGCTATCATTCTGACGTATCTTATGAGCACTAGCCACCCGGAATCACGCTGCTGTGTCTGCTGAAAGTTCCGTCCTCGGGCGGTGACACCGCCTGGGTTTCTCAAGCTGCGGCTTATGAACGCCTTTCCGAGCCCGTCCAAAAGCTGATCGAAGGGCTGCGAGCGGAGCACAGTGGCTTCCCACAGGCAGAAAATGCTCGCCGAGATGGAAAATTTGTGCGACGCGAACCAGTGAAGAGCGATCATCCCATTGTTCGAGTACACCCTGTGAAGTTGTGCCACCGGGCTTTAATGACCAACAGCTAGTTTTCTGGTCAGGTCACTGGGCAAAAGGTGCTGTTCGTCAATCCAGGTTTCGCTAAACGCATTGTTGGGTTGAAAGACGAAGAGTCCGACGCCATATTGCAGCTGCTATTCAAGGTAAGCTTCTCGGCGACAGAATGACCTATTCTCGCATCAGCTTATCACTTTGTAACATATTTCACTGTCAGCCGATCTTCAGGTGCGAGTTATATGGGACAACCACCACTATGACGCTATGGGACAACAGAGTCACTGCCCACACCGCTATCTCGCATTATGACGTCCACAATCCAGCAGAAGGCCTCAGGCATGGTATTCGTCTCACCACCCTCGGAGAGAAGCCGCAAGGCATCAATGGGCTTGACTGTAGGTAGGAGCCAGATCCTGTGTCGATGGACTGAGTCGTGCGGAACATGGTGTGACAGGTCTCTTTCTGAATGAATGGTCGCTGCTTGGGTATAAAGTTTCTTGTAGAGATATTCGCAAATGGAGCATTTAAACTGACGCCATGGCGTTCCTCGAAGTAGCTTGGACTGTGAGCATTTCGAAGTGCACCTCGACCAACCCACCACACGTCGTCGCTTTCGATTAAAGTCAAGCTTCTCAGTTTCTGACATCACCCGGATGAGCGAGCTTTATAGCGGCGCGGCTACCCACCTAGAACAGGGGAAGAAGAGTCGAGAGTTGGAGAAACTGGATAGTAATTGGCAAGAAATAGTTATTGCGTAACGAATCAAAGCTGGGTGGGCGACCAATCTCGGTCCTGCACCTTACAACTTCTTTTCCCCGTTACATTCTACAGCGGCCAGCATGAGTGACCACCCAGGTGAAAACGTTGTCCAGGATGAAGATTGAGGCTATTGCCGATATGTATGTGCGACACTGAGAGTCATCAACCGCTCTCTGGGGCTCATTTCCCTAGATCTGATATCGCTTCGACATCGTGTGCGAACCAGTACTATCTTAGATTATCTGTTGATCTTCTGAGAGGGCCTATTAGTCGCGTTTCATATACGTAATCCCTGCGTTTCTCCTGCTTTCTATTAATCAGTTCTATGTGGTGTGAAGTTGGGATGGAGGAGCTGCAGAGAATTCTGAGAAGTTGGTGCGGAGTTCAAAAATTTGATGTGTCGTCAACCCAATAAAAAGCCCTAACTACAAGTTACACCATCAAAAGTTTCCCTTACGCTTCTGATGACGATACTTAGATGCCGGAGCTTACGTATACCATCTCCCACCGGAATGTCTTGGGGCAGGTACATTCGCACAGGTACATTCGCACAGGTACATTCGGCACAGGTACATTCGGCGTTTGGGTCTTGGCGGGTATTGCGTCATACAAATTGCTAGTAAATTTGCCTATCATAACCAATTGAATGATTTGAACTTCCTATACAAAAAACCACATTGATATTGATGTTGCTTTTACTTCCCAATTAGGAAACAAGTATAGAGAACGTGGTGTTGCAGAACTAGCTCTATCCCTGGGCCGCTCCGCTTGCTCCGCCCCTGCCTCTGGCCTTGCCTCTGGCCTTGCCCTGCCCTGTACCCCGTTTTGGCGCCTTTTCGGCCTCTAACGCCTTCATTGTAGGCGCTCTCTTACGCCCAGCTCTTGATTGCGTCATCGCTGCTGG